ATGACAGCTTGTTTCCCTCATCCACATTAAATGCGTTCTCATCCGCATTTAATGCCCTGATAAAGAATGTCGTTTCAGCATTGCTTACATTTAATGCGCATGGCTGGCACTTATTGTGCACATGACACGTTTGTCAGAATAAATGGTACTTCATTAATGGAATTAGCTGCTAAGCGCAACGGATAACATCTGAAGAGGTCTTTGGGAAAGAACACTCTTCGTCGCATGTCAGTTGCGGAGCAATGTGATTCCTTGCCTTCAGTAGAAATATGCTAAGTATAACAGGTCGCAGACCTCGATTAAGATAAGAGGTGCATCGATACGGCATTGAATATGGTCTAATCTAGGTCGTCGACCTTGCGGAAAGAGACCATATCAGGTCGCTCGTAGGAATATGTGTTGCGACCTCCTTGTAGCCAGGTCGGATTGACTAAGCGTCATTCGGGACATATCAAATCAAGGCATAATTATGAAGTTCTCAAGGTTCGATTCTCAAACCTTAAAAACTAGGGGACTTTTGTTATGCCTGAAAGCGTAGGGCTGACATGGAGTTTTGTCAGCATAGGGTGGTCAGAACTTGAGAATGTTCTGCGACTGTTCAGATGCGGCCACGTCGCCTAATGAAGCAAGTGACATGCCACTATCAGTGCAGTGGGTGAGCATCAGGTTAGCGAATGGTTGGAAATCGTCCACGTGCCCAATCCCTGCGAAAGTCAAGGAAATCACTCGAGCAGGTGAGCAATATGACGTAGAGAAGGATTTGTACGGTACCTACCCACTTACAGATTTAGTAATCATTACCTTGATTTATCCTACTATAAATAGAGGTATTCCCTCTCATTTGCGGAATTGACTAATTTCACTCTGGAATAGCTTACTCTCTCTCTCTCTCTTGTATTCTCTAAGCTGTAACTCAGCTCGCTGAATGCGACTTGACCTTAGTCTCATTAATACAATATCAATGAACATTAATACAATATCAGTGAACGTAAGATTCACTTTTGAGCATCCGAACCACTTTAAACATTGTCTTTCACTCTTTATTTAACTAAATATTCTCATATCATGTGTGACTTCTAAATCCGCTTAGTATTTCTCACGTGCGAATAGTTGGTGTCAAAATCAAGTATCAACATAACCAAACACCATTATTAAACCAGTAAAGGTTTTTACATCAATTATTTGAAGTCGTTTCTTACCATTTTAGTTTTAAACAAATTAATTCTTGAATTTACACAGAATTCAGAATTCCTGACCTATAATGATTCAAGCAAGGGTTTGCATATTCCTAACTACCCATTAAATTCTAATGAAAATAATGGTTTCTTACCATATTTATGTGTATTTTCTTTCGTCTTGACTACGTTCTTTCTTTTTCTTTGTTTTGTAAAGGCAACTGGGCAAGTAATTCCAATAAAATTTGTCAAAGTTGACAAGATTATTGTTGTCAGAATCCAGAATGGTGATCTCTTGTCATCATACAAAGAAGATGGAAGGCATTCCTATATTTATATTTCCTGATCAGATGTGACAGAAGACTGAAGAAATGCAGGGATTAGCAGATAGCCACCACAGAAATCAAACGCTGCTTGTTTACGTAAACTTAAGAGCTATCTTAAGATTCTTAACTGATATTTAATTGAATATCGAATCACAATAATCAACAGATAGTAATGATGAAAGCAGAAAAAATTACTTATGGATTCCAGATCAAACAGCTAAGAACTCGCAGCATTGACGCTCAAGTTGCGCTTGCCCAACTTTTTTTTTTTTTTTTTTTTTTCATTGGGAGTGTTTCAGATAATTTGCCTATATTTTAATTAATTCTTCAAAGTCTTAGAACTTTCTATTGATAAGAACCTTAATAATAACCCCTATTAAGATATGAGGAACTCGAGCTTAAGAATTCGTAACGTTTGCCCAGTTCTCTTTTGTTTCATGCGTTACAATTTGGAGTGTAGCAAGGCAAGATTCATCTGGTTTGTATTTTTTCAATTGTAGAATGTTAATTTTGGCTGATGTCTGCGTATCAATATCACAAATCTCCAAGCACATAAGAAGTGCCAAAAGACATGTAGCCTAGTGGGGTTGGAAAAACATTAAATAAACATAAAAATAGTAAAGCTCGGCCAAAATGATAGATGGAAAATCAGAAGCAATCAGAAAGATATAGTTAACCTATTAAAAAAAACACTGAAGGGAGCTCTCTTCAATATATAAATTAATGTTGATCACTTGTTTCAGTGAAAACTCCAATGGCTTTCCTTCAATGGCTAAAGGAAGGCTTCAAGCCCTCCATGCTATTTGCATCCATTTTTCTAATGGTAGTGCTCAAGTTCTTCTTAAAGAGGAAGTTCAGAAAAAGAAAGCTGAATCTCCCCCCAAGCCCTCCAAAGCTTCCGATCATTGGCAACCTTCATCAGCTTGGTAACATGCCTCACCTATCTCTCCGCTGCCTGGCTGAGAAGTTTGGTCCAATCTTCTACTTAAAACTTGGCCAGGTCCCAACAGTAGTAGTTTCATCGGCTAAAATGGCGAAGGAGGTGATGAAAACACATGACCTTGCACTTTCAAGCCGCCCTCAGATTTTTTCAGCTAAACACCTATTTTATGACTGCACTGATATTGTCTTCTCCCCTTATGGTGCTTACTGGAGGCATATACGAAAAATTTGTAGACTTGAGCTACTGAGTGCTAAACGAGTTCAGTCTTTCAGCTTCGTCAGAGAAGAAGAAGTAGCTCGTCTGGTTCATCGGGTAGCGGAGAATTACCCCAACACGACTGATCTAACCAAGACACTTGGACTGTATTCAAATGATGTTCTTTGCCGGGTTGCATTTGGAAAGGATTTCTCAGGAGCAGGGGACTATTATCGATATGGGTTTCAGAAGATGCTTGAGGAGTATCAAGAATTACTTGGGGGATTTAGTATTGGAGATTTCTTCCCTTCCATGGAGTTTATTCACAGCCTAACAGGCATGAAACCAAGACTCCAGAAGACCTTCCAACGCTTCGATAAGTTTTTTGATGAGGTAATAAATGAGCATCTCAATCCTGATAGAGAAAAGAACAAGCCAGACCTTGTGGATGTTTTACTTGACATACAAAAGAATGGATCTCACGAAATGCCTCTCACTATGGATAATGTTAAAGCCATCATCTTGGTCAGTAGAGATTTCCTTACTTGCTACTTCTTTGCTTTATAGTATTATATCCTCAAAACTGATGAATGATCGATTGCACAAAAACTAAAGAGGGAAAGTGTCAAATGCTGTTGTTGCAGGATATGTTTGCTGCAGGAACTGATACAACCTTCATAACCCTTGATTGGGGAATGACAGAACTTATCATGAACCAAAAAGTCATGGAGAAAGCTCAAGCCGAAGTTCGAAGCATTCTAGGAAACAGAAGAGTTGTACTGGAAAGTGATCTGCCTCAGATGCACTACTTGAAAGCTGTCATCAAAGAGATCTTCCGATTGCACCCTCCTGCTCCAGTCCTAGTGCCAAGGGAATCTATGGAGGAAATTACAATTGAAGGGTATGGTATTCCAGCAAAAACACGATTTTTCGTAAATGCCTGGGCGATAGGGAGGGACCCAGAATCCTGGGATAATCCTGAATCCTTTGAACCAGAAAGATTTACGGACAGCACTATTGACTTCAAGGGGCTGGATTTCGAGCTCATACCTTTTGGGGCTGGTAGAAGAAGCTGCCCAGCTATTACATTTGGAACAGCAACTGTTGAGCTTGCTCTAGCACAGCTTCTCCATAGCTTTGATTGGGAGCTTCCCCCCGGTATTGATGCTAAAGATTTGGATATGACTGAAGTTTTTGGCATTACAATGCACAGGATAGCCCATTTAGTTGTTGTTGCCAAGCCACACTTTCCCAAATAAAATGCATCAAATATCAATCATCATCAAGAAACAAGTCCAATGATAACCTAAGCAGAATCAATCATTTGGTTTTGCTTTATCATATGTGATGTGATATGCAGAAAAGAAGAAACAGATGAGAGTGATTTGTCCGCCAGAAGATTTTATGAACAATTTATTCAATCCATGTCCTGCAAAGTTACTTGTATTCAGAGTTCGATTATCAATAAAGTCAAAAAGGTGATGAAATACAATCCTTAAGCTAACGAGTACAACTTTCAGAAAAGGGCATTAAAAAAAAAAAATGTAAAACAAATTGCTCCTTGCTTCCCTGGGTGCACAATTTTTACACAATAATAATGACTATCAAAATGTTAATAGCTGCAATGATTATAAATTTATCCTGCATAGCATTTAATCTCATTTTCCTATAGACATCTTCTATTTAACAATGAAACAAACCCCTGCAGTCTTAACTCTTAATATGTCTCCAACTAAGAGAAATATTCCACAAAGACAAATGAGAATTTAAAATTTGAGAGGAAAGAAGATAATAATTGATTCACTGTAGATTTTCGATTATGTTTCTATTGGAGAAAGAGGTTTGACATGTGGTCAACAATGGGAGCAAAAACTAGTTTGGTTCATGAACCCAATCCATCTAGTAGCAGGTTTAACAAATCCAACAAATAAGAAAAACTGTGAATAAATAGACAAAAATTTAAGAAGGAATTCTACTGATTTGGACAATAGCACCAATTCACAGTTCGTTCAGTCGTGCAAGTCTGCTCAGCTGAGTTGCCAGTTGATGGCCGGATGCCCTATAAACTCTAGTATAACAAAGTAAAATGCTGCTGGAAGATCATATAAATTTAACAGAGAAAGACACATTTTAGGCAACAAAATTCACAGTACCATAAACATATACAGGAAAGTAAGTGATTAAGCAAAATTTCTTTACAAGCCAGCACAATGTGACAAATTATGACCACGACAATCACTGCAGAACTAGTTCACAGCACGAAAACAATTGGTTTCGAATTTTCAGCTGACGCAGGTATGTCACTGCTTCGAGAACTACTCTAAGTCAAAAACTGGGATCCTCAGCAAATCTCGGGATTCTGTGCAGTGAACCAGAACTAAAGTACTGTTGTCCCTCATATGTTACAATCGACTACCTTCAAGCCTAGCCAATGAACATTAGTGAGATCTTATGTCTTGGATATAACGACCTACTTGTTGTGCACCAATAAATAAGGCATCAGCAACAATAAAGACCCCAACCTGTATCAGAAACAGCATATGAGGGTAGAAATTGAACTTAAGGCTAAAAAGTAGGCCACCTTACTGAGATAGAAAGATTATAATTACCAGACGTGCAGAGAACAGTAATCGGTAACCCCAACCTTCTCTGGCGGCTTGAACTCTTTGTTGATCTGTCCAACTGAATGTAACAGAAAATGCGCAAAAAGTGCAATGTTGTCAAAATCATAATAAATTATAACAGGTCAACAAGTTTCCAACATCATAAAGCCAGCTATTTTTATTATCCCAGGCTACAATACAATATTGTCAGACAAATATAAGGAGATTTATTAGACGATAAACATAGAAGTCCAAGCATAAAATGTTGTGAGCTAGAGATCTCCTAAGAGAAGATAATGGGGGAAAAAGTACAATAACCATTAACTAGGTCATAGACCCTAAGGGAGCATTTGGTTTAAGGAATATTGAATTATTGAAAAATTAGATTACCTTAAAGATTACTGGGAATCTTTAGGAAAATATTTTTGGTTAATTAATGAGTATATTATATTAATATGTTTGATCGAGAGGAATAAATTGGTAAGTATGCTATTTAAATTATTAAATTGTTCTCTAATTAAATATTATTGTTATATTATTTTTTAATATTGATTATTATTTGGATTGTTATAACCCCCATGTATTTAAAAACTTAGCAAAAACAACCCCATAATAAAAGTTTAAAAAATCAACAAAACACCCCCACCAACCCAGCCGCTGGCAACCGACAACCTAACGGCGCACAAAAGGCAGGAAATGGCCTCCATCAGCCGTATGGCCATTTTCGACCAGAGATCTAGCTGGAAATGACCAGATGTGACAGATCTGACCTTTGACGGCTAGATTAGATTTGGCTGTCAATGGCCAGATTTGACACGATCTGGCAAACCATATCGACGCACGGTAGCCATTTTCGGCCTTTCGTGCACCATTTCGACGACGACAGCTGGCCGCGGCGATGGTTGCCGACGACAGGCAGCGGCAGGTGGGTAGGGTGGCGGCTTGGGTGGGCTATAATTTGTTTTGAATTCAAGAGTAATTTTGTCCAAAAAGTTAATTAATTGAGATGAAATAGTAAAAGTCATATTCATGTAAATAAATTTAAAAATAAGGGCATTATTATCCTAAAATTTTATTAATAAGGGATAGAATTGTAACACCTTGGTACTCTTAGAATACCTAAGAAAATTGAGGTAATCAGATTACCTCCAATATTACCAACAGTAACTACTATTGGTATTTGAAGATTACCAGAATCTAATATTACTTGACAATCAAACGTAGTAATCAAATAATATAAGATGACATAACTCCAGTAATCCCACATTACCCCCAACCAAACGCCCCCTACGTAAATTTGATGACATCACGTGCAATACTTTTCTTAGGGAGACAATCCCAAGCAATTTATGAGTCCGACCCCTTTAAAACTTTTTTTGATGATTATGAAATACTGAACTGACAGCCATTCACTGGATTAATTTCCATGCATCTTAATGAAATACAAAAAAATAGCAATGTACTGGACAGATATTTTCTTCCCACCCATTTTGCACAAAATAAGTGCGATAATTGTATGCTACGTCCCACTACAATTTACTGAATGTTTGCTAAGCACTACATATTATAAATTCTAGAATCATCTTTTCATAGTCGTTAGATAAATGAACGAAGAAGAGTAAGTGTTACAAAAAGTCTAGAAGCCCCCAGCTTAAACATATTAGAGTTTTAACTAGTGTTTAAGCCTCTTAAATTGAGTATGTTTAAGAGATCACTTTCTCTTTTTTATTTTGTTCTCTCTCTCTCTCTCTCTCTCTCTCTCTCTCTCTCTCTCGATGGTCCATCACATGGATTGTCATATATATTTGTTCAAAAAATGAAACGTGAGGATATGAAATGCATCAAAAGACAAAGGTCGAAAAATGAGATCTATACCCAAGGAACTCAGAAACCCCTCCAATTCCAGCAAACTTCAAAGGCTGAGAACCTTCTCTGGTAAGATCCTAATCCAAAAAAGTTTAGACTCACTAAATTAATTGAGCCTTTAGTTTTAATTGGAGAAAGACAAAGCAGAATAAAAAGGAAAATGAGAAACCTAAATATAAAAGGAACTTTCAAATTTCACATCGGAAACACATTTACCTCTTCTTCAGCAGTCTCTAGACCCCCTTGAACCCAGAAAAGGTTTCTGTATCCAGCATTGTATAGTAGCTCACAAGCAGCTAGAGATCTGTCAGAATTATGGTTAGTGAAGCAAACACAACTTATTGTCTTAGAGGCACTGATGAAACTCAATCTATCTATATGTAAGGAAGTTCCAATCTGCCTTTCTGTCAATAAAAAGCACCAAATTACTCATGATATGAGGTCCAACTAATGACATAAGCCAAGGATTCAAATAATCGGCAAAAGAACGATTATATGGTTTTAAATAGCGATCAAAGGTCCTAAGGAAAATAAATTTTAAGTTGTAAAAACAAAAGAGATGCTGCCATCCAGAGCCTCCAACTTTTTTCTCTACTCCCTCTCCTCTCCCACCCCTTCTCCACGGTTCTCTATCTGTCTCGCGGTGACTGACATTAAGTACACATATATATATAGCTCTAAGAAGACCGACATGAACAAGTTGGCTTCCACACCAGCAAGACTCAAATAGCTAAAAATAAATTCAAAATAGCTTTTTGCATTAACTAGAAGTCTAATTTACATCCCTATGGGCAATGTTGGAACAAAAATTAGCAGTTATACTAATATGCAGATAAATCATGGAAAAAGCCCAAAAAGAAGATCAATAACAGCAGAAAACAATTTGAGAAAAACAATAATAAACAAAGCTAAACATACATTAAGAAACCACCATAACATTATTTTCCTAGAAGTACAATGAACAAGTCACTTGATACTCGGCCATCAAAGTGCCAATCAACTAAGAAAAAGTTCACCTCAATCCTTTCTGGCATGCAACAATAACATCTGTATCTTTGGGGAGTTTCTCCTCAACTTTTGATAAGAACTGCCTGTGTATGAAGGAGACAACGACCATGGAATTAATCGTATATGCAGAAATACAGGCAGAAACTCACAAAAATGAAAATTTTAAAAGCACCCTAAAACTTACTTATTATAAGATAATGTAGGCGCACCACTCCACCAACCACCTATGAACATAAGTCAGTTTTGAGAGCAAACTCCACAAAAAATCATGGGGAATTTATTGAAATTTAGAAGAAACCACAGAATCACTTTTGCTCCAAGAATTCAATCATGGTATGTTTCAAGTCAAACTAATCATCTAAGTTCCAATCTTATCTTCCGAATGGCAAATAACAGAATACATAACTCTATTGAGTAATAATTTGTTAAACAACCAAATAATTATAGTTATAAAGGATGCAAGAGAAGCAAAATTAACATGGAAGACAATAAGTTTATGAAATACTAGATAGCAAGAATTTAATGATACCCATTGCAAAAGTTGTGATCTTTCTGGAAAGTGTTCCAGCATCAAATCCATTATCAACATCAAAGATCGGTATCCAGGTTGAGCCTTTAACCCAAGCCTTCAAAACAGGTTGAGAAATTAAGATTCAATGACAAAAAAAGAAATATCTAACAGTTTGCAAAGAAGGCCTAGAATTAGACCAATCAATAAAATTTTAAAAATCAATGTATTTAAGTGAACATTAAAAAATGGTGCCTTCTTATGTAGGAAAATAGAAGAGATCACAGATCTATCATGAAATCACCATGATTACAAAAATGCTATCATAAAATTGTAGGATACGCAGCATGCTTATTGTATGATTACAACCCTCTATAACTTCTATGTTGGCAAAATTTCAATTTAAAGACGGAAAAGAGGAAAATGTTCACCTTCACATGCTCACTAGAGGGACGAACATCAAGTAAGGTTTTGTTAGAGAGTTGAATCGCATAGCCAGCTTCCCTCGGTGCAAGTACCTTTACTTTTCCTTCCCTGAGCTACATAATCGAAAAGTGAAAACTAGCAAATAAAAACTCGGACCATATTAACTGGCTAAACAAAAAAGAAAACACAACTCCTTAACACCAACTAGGAAGGGAAATTTATGCAATTACATGAAATAATTTGAAATACCAGAGCATCCCATCTCTTCTTTGCAGCAGCCATGTCTCTCATTTGCCTCAAGTCGTAATCTTCCTCACCAGCTTGCATTCGAATACCACCTGAATTCTAACCAACACAAAGAACAACCCCATCTCAATTTTCCTTCGATTTTTTGGCATCCAAACATGGTAAGGCAAGAAAAAATACTAAAAAAAGAAAAGAGAGAAGAAAAAAAGTTAGAAAGTTCATTAATCAGAACTGAAAAATGGAAGATAACCATACAAAAGGGTGAGTACTAATAGATGGTGTAAGTTTGAGAGAAGATGGCTTCAGGGAGTTGAAGTGACGAGCTTTCCCCAATAATTTTTTGCTTTGTTCTTTGTGAAAACTTGAAGTTGGCACTGTAAGAGCATTGAGAGAGGGAAGTGCTAGAGATTCCATTGTTAAGAGTTTGAAACACTCGGAATTGAACTGGATTTGCTACTTTGCTTATCCTCTGTGCTACTGCTACTGGTCCATTTTGCCCTTGTATATAAAGGATAAATTAGTAAATTCATCCTATCAGTTTAAAATTTTAGAGTGATGCTTAAGAGAGGAAATTTAACTGATATGTGTAATGACTGCTTTATACTCGGATATTCATAAAAAAATTCATGTAAAATATATAAGTAAATGAGTCCAAAATTATCTTTTATTACATATAAACAATGTTCAGAAACCCGGATTAGAAGGTGATTCGGTCAAATGACCGGTTTCCGATTTAAACAGTCTAATCAATCTGACCGTCGGATTAGACCAATGATATCATCAAATATTATATTTTAATATTTATTTCCTAACATATCATTTCGTCTTTCTCTTTCTTCTTTTCTCCTCCGTTTTTTTTCCACTCTTTTTCTTTCCGTCATCTCTTTCTTCTTTATATTATATATTTTCAAAGTGTCACTTCACCATCTTCTCTTTCTTCTTCTCACCCGTCACCTCATCTTTCCTTTCTTCCTCTCTACTTCTTTGTTTTTTCCCTCTCTTTCTCGCCATCTCTTCTCTTTCTTCTCTACTTCTTCCATATTCTCCTATTTTCTCACCTCCTCTTCTCTTTCTTCTTCTCTTTTCTCACCTCCTCTTCTCTTTTCTTCTTCTGCATCTTTTGAAGACTTGAAGGCTAAAAGCCGAAGCTTGAAAGAGATCGCGAATAGAGGACTAGACTGAAGCCTAAAGAGGTTGATTGAAGAGGAAGAGATCGCGATGATTGAAGAGGACTTGAAGAGTGAAGACTTGAAGGAGATCCGAGATCGCGAATGGCAAAGTAGCAAAAACCCAAAAAAAAAAAAAAGCAAACCAAAATGAAAAAGGCAAAAGCAAAAAAGCAAAATTTTAAAAGTGGCAGACAACTCGCAAAAGCAAATTGAAATGTATTACAAAATTTGGGGGTTTGACACTTTGATTTGTGTTTGTGGTTTTAAATTTTTTTAATTTTTTTCATATTTTCAAGTAGTGGACCGGATTGGATGTGGACCGGATTTCTTTGTTATATCGGTTGGACCGTCGGTTTGTTACAGTAAGACGGTCCAATCACGGTTTGAAACGATTTGATGCAAAAATCCGGGTTTTTACTCTTTTTAAACCGAAAATATAAGCGAAACCCGGTCGGACAGGTTCGACCGCCCGGTCCGGTCCAGGTTTCAGAACATTGCATATAAACATTATTTATACAAAACAGAGTATCATGTACAAAATGATATTAAAACAGTGGACAGTGTAGCTATTGCTCCTCGCTTGCCGACGCCCGTCCAACTGCTTTCTCACCTAGAACTTGCAACCACAAAGAAAATAACGGGGTGAGCACAAAACAATGCTCAGTAAGTAAATCCTCTACTCGACTGTCCCCCTAACTTTTTCTCTTAATTCTTTCCTTACTCTTTTTCTCATCTCATTTATTTTCTCTTTCACACAGCTCTCTTTCTTAACTTCCGCTATATATCACGGCCTCATCTTATCGGAGGCACGGCCGGGTGGAGTTCACACAGCACCAACCCACTCTCCCTGATTTTCGGGTGGAGATCACCAAGCACCAACCCCTTACTGTTTCTACTATCGGGTGGAGATCACAAAGCACCAACCCGTTCTCATAGCTTTACTCATTCTCTCTACTCTTAGAGTAGCTCATTCACACAATTCTCTACTCTTTCTCAAACTAAGAGTAGCTCATTCACATAACTCTCTACTCTTTCTCAAACTAGTAATCATAGTGTAGCTTAATGCTTAGAGTAGGTTAGTCACAAAATTCTCTACTCTTTCTCACACTATTTCTCAAATGTACAATTAATACATATGGATGGTTCATGTTCAAGAATGCACTTAGGAAATGCCAATATGCAATGTTGCAACAAATAAGGTTCACAACTCATGCTCATACTTCTCTTAGGCATTTCATCAAACAACTAGTGTGCATACCTATACTCCACTTTATTTATAAGTCTATCCCTCTCTTGAACCATCCAAAATGGGAGAAAACTCCCTCACTAAGCAATAATTCCTGCTATAACATAACACTTCCAAAAATAATTCTCAATCTCCTCCAATTTCATCACAAACTACATTCTCCTCAAACATCACACTCCTCAATTGAAGTGTATTTAACAACCACAATAAATAAATACTCATCTCAACCCAAGTTCTCACAATCACAATATATATCATGCATCACTAAATCTCTACTCAAGGGATTTCACAATTATCAACTTGGATTGGGATTTACTTACCTTGAAAATGAGAGATCACAGTAGCACTTCCTTTCATTTACAAGACTTGTTTCTTCTCTACCCTTTAAACAATAAAACCATGAGATTTCAATACCGAAATACATGCACAACTTCACATCTAAAGCAAGGATCCTTACCTTAGGATGCCTTAGGTTGATTCTCTAGCAAAAACCAACTAAAAACCCTAAAAAATCCTTGAAAGCTTGAAAGAAGAATTGAGAGGGAATGGAGAATGAAAGAGGCGATGGAGAAGAATGAATGAAGGGTTTATGAAGTTTATCCCCTTTTTAGCTCAAAAGAGAATCATTCATTCCCATATTGCCATTGCTCTTTCTTGAAAATTCCATCTTTGTCCTTTCAATCTTTACACTCACACCCCTATTCTAACATATTCTCCATGAAATTTCCTTGCATTTCACTCCCCACTTTTCTTGCTAATTAAGGGTAGAATGGTCATTATGCCACAAAGGAAGGAAATATCTAAAACTCAATAAACTTTTTGGCCGTCTCGTCGCCGCGGCGAAGACAATTTCGTTGCCGTGGCGAAACACTCCCGCAGCTACTCCGTGGGCTGCAGCACCTCTTCGCCGCGACAAAGCTTCTTCTTCGCCCCGACGAAGCCTGTAACTCCAAAATTCCCAAGTCTTAAGCAATTCCAAGGCAATTACTCAGCATATCCAATACATCCATTCAACCAAAGACCAACCAAACAATAATAACAATATACCATCTCAAATAAGAGCAAAACAGTAAGTATTCATACAACATACAACATAATCTACTATGTACCTCAAGTGGGGCGTTACAATATGTCTTTCCAAGTTTCGAATTGAGAATATAACCTTGAAAAGGTTTTTGATTTTTTTTTTTGGTTTAAAAATCTGACATGGCACACTTAAGCGTAATTAAAGCAACAGAAAGGGTTAGGGTGAAAAGATTTAAACGTTTGTGGGTTAAAGATGATAAAAAGAAGTTGGTTTAAAATTTGAAAGGCAAAACACATTCCTTTCAGTTTCTCTTTCTCAAAACACAATTCAAACACCTTCCTCTCTCTCATTTTTTCTTCCAATTTTTTGTCATTTCTCAATTTCTTTGCTCTTTGCATTTTTTTCCATTCCTTGCCATTCCCGGTTAAGTTACAATGGCTGAGATCCTCAAAGAAACTGAAAAAACCCATCCACTCCCCAAATTGTAGGCACCACTTGGTCTACCAAAAATGGAGAAGAAGAGGTTGCGGTGGAGTAACTTCAGATGACTGAAGTTGCTCCACCGCCGATAGAGGAGACGGCGCTGATAGAAGACACCCCGCCGACAGAAGAATGGACGACAAGATTCGAAATTGAAAATGAAGAGGAGGACACCAGCGCAAATTCCAGCGAGGAGGTGGAAGAAGAGGAAGAACAGGTAATAATCTATATATTTTATGAAATTATTAGTTGTTGGTGCCAATTTAGGGATATTTGGTTGGTGTTTGTTGTTAAGGTCATTATTGCATTTTGTCGAGCAGTTGGAAAGCATCTGAGGAGTGGGTGTTTTGGGCTTCCAGAGGAGCGAGGAAGCAAATGGAGGCCCTATTGGGATTGTTTATGGCAGGTTGGATGGCTTTTGTTGGCAAAGTGAGTGGAATAAGGGGGTTGGGGGCTTGCCCTGCATATTACAGGGTTGTCCATGCATAGCCAGCCCTGTAGGGCTTGCCCTTCATCATCTCTCTTGTACATTATGCCAGCAAGAAACAAGAATATGTCAAGCAAACAAGAGTACATTTTTTTCCTCTTTATTTTAGTCATTTGTTAACATTTTTGATTGATTGTGCAGGGCCATTGTAGAAGTACATAATTCAATTTTCCAAGGTAGATTATTGAATGTAATGCCACCAAGAAACAAGAACCTGTCAAGCAAACAAGAGTTAGTTGCATACTCCTTCCAAGCCTCATGGTTCATGTCTTTTTTTGTCTATTATGATGAGGAATTTCACATTGCTTTTTCTGCAAGTCTGCGATTTGTCTATTAATGGTTCAAAAACTTTGAAGCAACGAAGGGAGGAAGAAAGGAAGGCATCTGAAGCTAGTGGAGATACAAAAGCATGGAATAGATTTGGCTATGTTTTTTTAGCAACAGAAAGTGTATTTAGTTAGAAAGGGTTGGTAGGATCCATTGAATCTTTAGAGTAAGGACTGAAAGTGTATTTTGTTGAGACAAAATGCATGTTTTGGTAGGTTGTTATTTTGGGAACTACTAGAACTGTTGGAACTATCATTTTCCAGATTTCTTTATTGTACTTGCTTCTTGTTAATCAATATAATTTCCTCAGTTTTTTTCTTAATTGATTGTTTTATGAGTGAGGATCTTGGTTGACAAATTTTTAGGTTGCTATTTTATCAGTTTTTCTCTTAATTTGTTGAACACTTATTAGTGAATCAGAAAACAATTTTAATGGTTTTGATGAGTTTTATGAGATTATCAAATTAGCCTTGGTCGTTTAAGCGATGTGGGCTATCGCTTAAGCGATCAAGGCTTATATATATTGGATCGTAGGATCCATTGAATCTTTAGAGTAGGGGTTGAAAGTGTATTTTGTTGAGACAAAATATATGTTTTGGTAGGTTGTTATTTTGGGAACTACTAGAACTGCTGGAACTATCATTTTCCAGATTTCTTTATTGTATTTGCTTCTTGTTA